CTGCTATATAACCATGTCTTTGATAATTATTTTGATCCAGAACCATGTCTTTCATAAAGTTTCTTTCTCTGCTATAGAACCATGTCATTGATAATTATTTTGATCCAGATCCATGTCTTTCATAAAGTTTTTTTTCTCTGCTATAGAACCATGTCTTTGATAATTATTTTGATCCAGATCCATGCCTGTTCTAATTATTTTGATTCCTTAATAAGATAAAGCCTAAAGCCTTCATCGTAAACCCTAAGCCCTAAACCCTAAAGCCTAAACCCTAACCCATAACCCTAAAGCCCTAAACCCTAAAGCCTAAACCCTAACGTCACTATATTCTTCAGCGCATTGATGGCCAACGTGATTTTAAAGTGTTCCTTGTTCCTGAACTTTTTCCCAACCCATATCTCTCCATCTTCATTTGACAAATCAAGTTCATCGAAATCCCCTCCCATTTCATCAGAGACTTGTGCCACATCCGGAAATCCATATAGTTCTGTACGTTTAATCGCTTTCTTCAGCTCTGCACCGCCATTCAGACGCCCCCAACTGACATCACCTGTCGGAGTCTGCACAAAATCATCATCATCTCCATGGGGAGCCAGAACATTCTCACATACAGTCCTCTTTCTTCCAGGAAAATGAATAAGACTCTCTGTTAAGACAATGGAGTTGTCCATATGGTTTGAATCACTCGGCTCACTTCCGCGATGAGTTCCACAACCGCCTGAACTACCAGAGTCATCCTTATCCTCATCAAATCCAGGTTTAGAATGGAAACCCTTTCCATCTGCTAGTACGTAATCATTCCACCAGTCAAAATCATAATCCGGATCATAATCATCATCAGAGCCGTGTGCGTCATCGTCAACATCATCAGCTTCCTTCTCTTCCGAATCTCTCGCCTCGTCTGATTCCTGGGACATTTTTAATTCCAACTCAGGGTGGTCATCAGAGACAGCGTGACTTGGAACATCCAGTTTTACATTAACGGAGGTGTTAGTGCTGGCCTTAGCCTCTACTTTCTCTGATTCCTGGGACATTTTTAATCCCAATGGAGGATGGATAACAGAGACAGCTTCAAGTTGTACACCTTTGGAGGTGTTCATTGCGGCCTCTGCCTCTATTTTCTCGGCATGTGCTATCAGCAAACAATCATCGATATCTTCATCATCTGCTTCATCATCGGGTTGACTAGACTCTGCCGAAGAAGAGGCTATGAAGTTTGTTGGCCCTAAGGACTTTCGCCGTTCCCTCGCAATTTGAACTTCAAGACTTTCCTTCCGTTTCAATCTCACCATTTTACCATTTACTGACTCCTTGAATATGACAAATAAATTCACAGACTTGTCAGACTTATGCAGCGAAAGGAAGAATTTGTACTCTCGAGGAGTAACTATTACACATGGACAACTCCCATCACCATTAAGCTCAGCTAGAACATCATCAAACCAGTAGGAAATCTCCACCGAAACAACTCTCGTGTCTAATCCGAACTCATGCGCAATAAGATTTCTCAAATCATCTGGTCCGGACACATCTTTGCAATTTATGCACCTGCCACGACGAGATATGTCCATTTTGAAATCCCATTCTCCTGTATAGTACCTTATCCACGTTCCCGCCATAACAAGAATGAACGCATCCACTGCAATTCGCGAACACCATATCTATAAAACTACTGGCAAATGGCGAACACCAGACCGAAAAAAAATCGAAAATAACAATGACAAATCTATGGGTGTACAATAATAGGATTAAGTAACTAACCGGGGTTGTTGTCCTCTAGATCATCGCATAATTTCCCCTTTAATTTCAACATCTTCTGGAAAGGGAAACTAGGGTTTCTAATTTGGTTAGGATACTTTGTTTCTTATTTTAACCAAATGAACTCTATTATCCCTAATTAACCACAATTTTTCCCGCCAAAATTAAAAAGGGAATGGGAAGGGTAGTTTTTCGTGTAATTACTTGGGTAGTTTCCGGCCCATAACCGAGGCCCAGTTAGGTGGTTTTTGGGAATTTCATTCCTAAATTCGAAATCAGGCCCAAAAAACGACCCAAACACGCGCGTGAGTGCTCTCTTCCCGGCTGATACGTGCGCGGAGGTAGAGAACGCCTGGGACCCACGGTATTTTCTGCCTCTGTCTCTCTCTGAGGAACAGACTGCTCTGTTTCTCTCTCTCTCAGAAAGAAGGGTAAGTTTGCCATATTGAAAATATGTCCCTACCCCGACTAATTAAAACTTAAAACTTCCCTTTCCTCAAATTAAAACTTAAAAACGTCCTTATTTTCAAAACAACCCTATTATATACTACATTAGTCTTGTGATTCGAAAGCCTATACTACACTTTGTTATACGTACGTCGATGGTTAGTGTATGATTAATAATTCAACTGTTTCTAGATTCATGGTGCCGCCCGATTCATCTATATTAATGGGTTTTAAATTTTTTAATACTGTATATATCAGGTGATCCTTGAATTGATTCTGACATAACCTTTCTATTTTCAAATATCTCTTCGATTCCAAAATGTAAGTCGATTTTTTTATTCTGTTTTTGTTTCAAGAACTATAGTATACGTTTTGAAATTTTATGTTCAAGTTCGTGAACAAATACGTGAGATCAATCTACTCAAAATCTAAAACAGTATTCCACAAATCGCAAACTTGATCATGACTCAAAATACCTTTACGTCATTAGAGTTTGAGATCAATCAATATATAACCTATACATGAATTCTGTGCAAGGATGTTGTTTCAGAGCTTTATTTGGGAGTAAGAGATGCAGAATCTCCGGGATTAATCCACGAATTGGGTTTTCAAAGAGTGATCACAATTTATATATATTCGCATGGGTTTGCCGAAAAATCGGAAAGAAATGACTAAGAAGAGCATAGCGCTGGCTCATGCACCTATATATGCTTATAGGACCATCAAGGAAGAGATTTTTGGGAAATATTTGTAATCGTCCTGAGGCAAGTGAAAGAGATTCAGCAACTGTTGCTTGTGTTACTGCAGGGATATTAGGAGGTGCCAATATTATTAGAGTTCATAATGTTATAGAGACAACGTAGACCCGGGAAGACTAAGTGATGCAATGATGATAAGAAATGGTTAAATGGATGATTAACTGACATATATAATTGTATCATGGTTTAAAAAAATTAATTATTTACTTAAGATATACTTTAACTTTGCTTCAGAATAGTATTACTAGTTTGAAGCTTTGATGATATGGAACTTCCGTTTTTAAGTAGAAACTGAAAACATTCATTAATATTTCGAGAGCCAAACATCAACAAGTTATGTATGAAAATTTATTCCTTGAATCTCAAACTTGATCAAGGCTCCAAATCTATAACTCTTAGCGGAATTTAAATAAAGAGAGTATTTTATCTCTTCTAGAGTGCTATAAGTTTTCAGGAAAACCCACCATTCTCAATAGAACATATATGACATGTTTCTTAATGGTGAAAGTCTATCTTATTAAAGAACTGAAAATACTAAAGAATCTGGTGGGGAAAAATGTTTGACTCAAAACGTATTAGTAATTTAGTATATACCACACACAAAAGAGATATGGTGTTCAATTCAAGTGATATGGGGTAAAAGAGTTAGAAAACATGAGAAGTGTGAATTTGGATTGTGATGAAAAACGTGAGTCCATCCATACCTTGCTTGTGCTTTAAACCAATCAATTATCACTTCCCGCTTTTATTTGTTTTTAATAATCTTATATTTTGAAAATAGGATACATAACGAATTACAAGCATATACTAAATTACATAAAAAATTCATCTGAGATTAGTTTCCTGTTCGGAAACAGAAACTCTAAAAAATGTAAGGGAAACTCGATAACAACATAATTCTGAAAAGTTTTAATTTGGAAATGCGACGAAAATATTTATTTTTGTTTTAGAAATGCGACAAAAACATATCTAGTTTTTTGGAAACGCGATGAAAATATCTATTTCTATTTTTGGAAATGCGACAAAAACGTACCAATTTTTTCGGAAATGTAATAACTGAATATGTAAAAAAAGTTGGATAATATATAGTGTTATTTTAGTATTTTAAAGCATGATTAAGTAATTAGTGAAAGTATATATTTTTTTTCTCTAATAGAATAACTTCCTAATTTTAAGCCATTACCTAGAAAGTTAGAACTTATATACACGAGAAGAAGATTAGAAGAGTCAAATTATACACAAGGTATTTGTTTTTCAAATAATGGTCGATGGTGACATGAAAAGAATAGTTTTGGTTATATTGTAGGGAAAATAAGAAATTAACGATTCCAGATTTCCATGCAATGATATATATTTTAGAAGATCATACATACACAATAAATTCATAGTATTGCATTATATCAACATTGCTATGTGTTTGCTAACTCGACTGAAAAAACACTATGGAATCACATTATATGTTCTGTTTTGGGTATGAGAGGATGTATAAACCTAAAACCTTTTAATCATACAAAAAAAATTCTATGTGTTATGACTGAAGGTTAAAATGTGGAATGAGGATAGTATCGTACCGTATGATGCAGATTGAGAAGAAAAAAGAAAAGGACCTCTAGAAGACGAGCCAAATGAGGAAAAGCAGTCATCAGAAACATGTGACATCAAATTCCTTAAAGATCAAATTCCTTCTTTAACGTCTAATTCCCATATTTGATGCCCAATTTTCACCTTTAATGCCAAGTTGCCAGGTTACTTGCATATGAAATTGTGGAGGATTGGCAAACTTTTTTTTTTTCTTGAAAGAACGAAGATTGGCAGTCATATTATAAAAATTTTGAATATATTTATTGTAGGAAATTGAATTTTGTAAAACATGAAAACGAAAACATTGTTATACTTGTTACGTAACTTCAGTTTTGTTTTACATATAAACATGGGGAATTAAAACAAAAGAAAATGAAGCTAAGATTTTATCCTTCTACTAAAATAATGTTTTTCTCACCTATAAATACCGAAGAATCCATTACGATTTCACAACACCATCTATCTCTCTTATCCAGTTTTCTTCAACTTATTACTTATATCAAATGGCGCAACAGTCTTCCCCGGTGAAACCAATCGCTATGCTGAAAGACGAGCTCGACATCGTGATCCCAACAATCCGTGACCTGGATTTCTTGGAGGCATGGAGGCCATTCTTTGAGCAATACCATCTGATCATCGTTCAAGATGGCGATCCTTCGAAAACCATCAAGGTCCCAGAAGGCTTTGACTATGAGCTGTTCAACAGGAACGACATCAATCGAATCTTGGGTGACAAGGCATCTTGCATTTCTTTTAAAGACTCTGGTTGCCGCTGCTTCGGTTTCTTGGTCTCCAAGAAGAAGTACATCTACACCATTGATGATGATTGCTTCGTAAGTAGATCTCTCTTTCTCTCTTCTCTTTTGGATGTTACAAGTACTATTGTCAACTATGAAGTGGAACCGAACATAAATAATGTTCACTTCATAGGCGTTGAAAAAAGTTGAATAACTAGATAATATTTTTCTCCTCAAGTTATCTCTAATAGCTCGTATATAAATTATGGTTTTTTTTTAATTTTGAAATAAGAGAGTTCTTACGATGTTAATTTGCTCTGAGAAAACAATGTAGGTTGCAAAGGATCCATCTGGGAAAGAGATCAATGCGGTTGAGCAGCATATCAAGAACCTCTTGTCTCCATCAACTCCATATTATTTTAACACACTTTATGATCCATATTATGGGGCAGATTTTATTCGTGGAAATCCGTTCGATCAAGTAGACTTTACTCGTGGAAATCTGTTCAGTCAAGGTGATTTTACTCGTGGAAACCCCCTCGGCCAAGATGATTTTACTCGGGGAAATCTACTTGGTCAAGGTGATTTTACTCGTGGAAATCCGCTTGGTCAAGATGACTTTACTCGTGGAAATCCGCTCAGCCAAGGTGATTTACTCGTGAAA